AGATGTGTATAAGAGACAAGGATTAAAGAACTGCATAAAAATAGTAAATTATTACAGTATTTATAATATGAAATTGGATATAAAGTAGTGAAATCATTAAAAGAAAAATCTATAAATACAGTTACATGAAATTCGACTGCTAAAAAGATTAAATGGAATTAAACTATACAGGAGGCTGTTAACTGTATTTATACAATGTTATACATAGGAACGCACATCACGTTAGACACAGAACGCGCATCGCGTATGAAACAAAATGGCTTCTAAATTCTCAATGTCGCAACTCTTTCTATCTATGGCTCTGAAAGGAACTGGCGCATAGCACCGCCCGCGTTCCATACGCAATAGGTTTTGATTGTTATGGTTGAGTAACCTCATGTAACCAAAGAGTAACAGAAGAGAGTCCACTGCTATTCCTAACACACGAGTCAGAGTGACGCCCGATTCGCTGTATAGGGAAAACGCCCCTAGCGTCTGCTAAGGATCATGAGTTGCGCCGAGTGATGGCAGCATATAAATACAGTTGATTTAAGACCTGTATTTGGAAAAGAGTGCATAAAGTCAAATTATTATATCCGTTTTTCAACGAAATATAAAGGCAAGACTTTATAAGAATAACATTACTGTATTGGAAAATATGCTATGTATTGTGGGTTTTTAAAAGTTTACTTTAAATCACAATAGTAATTTGAATTTGATAAAATAAAAAGCCTGATGGGAGTATATAAGAAAAGTAATATTTAATAGGCCTCACTGAGAAGATGACTATTCATTACAAACAATCATCCATCCATGCATTGGTATTCGATATATGTAATTCTTATTAATTGAGAACATATAGTTAATGATGTGTTTGCTTTCACTATGACTATGTTCCCCAGCCCTTCCTCAGTCTGGTATGTAAATGTAAAGTTTTCTCTTCAGTCAACAAATTAATGTATAAAACAGTAGTCAAAAAATAGTCGGAAACACTAAAGTAACTTTAAAAATATTGTACTTTATTTAGTATTTTTCCACATGAACTTCAAATACTTTCACAAGCAAATGAGAGTTAGATATTGTAATGATGAGGAAAACATCCATCTTGATATACCTTAAAATCCCGGGTTTATGATGATAAATGAGAAAAAAATATCATCCATCCATGGACCTATTAATAAGACCCATCCAACTGTTAGTGACCCAGGCACTGTCTGCGACAAGGTATTAGCACCCACATTATACTCAGGGGCGGATCCAGGATTTGAAAGAGGGTGGTTGAAAATCGAAAATTTATGATTCCTATAGTAGGCCGGAAATGAGCTTTCCCGACTTCTAGAGTTTTTTTTTAATGACCTTTAAGTTCTTCAAAATTCAAGGTTTTTTCGTCTTGAAAAGATCAGTAAATCTCTTTCTTCAGGCCTCTATATAAAGAAAAAAAAAAAAAAATTTCCCGCACGATTAAAAATCGTGACGGTACTGGGTTTGGTCTACAGGAGTTCGTGCTTCGAACGTCATTCCATTCATAGAAAAATCCTTTTGATGGAGAAAGTGTACCTTTTAGCAAGGTTTGCCTAGTTTGAAACTAACTCCGGCCATGGACCTATAATAGGTCCATGCTCCGGCTATATAAAATTGATTAGAATATTGAAACATTTTTTTTGTTGTTAATGAATAGATGTATTACTACTATGTTTATTTTTATTTATCTTATCCACGTAAATTTACTTTTAGAGTTTATAGGCCTATTTCATGAAAATTGTTTAGATATTTATTTGAAAAATATATTATACGAAATAATGTAATCGTTAAAGTTTAATAATATTTGATATTTGAATAAAGCAATAAGATTGAATTATGTTAAATAAAAACACAATGTATACACAGACTTATAGTACTAGAGTCCAGTTAAAATTATGTAAATAATACTCGAAATGATATACTTATTATATATTTATATAAATATTATGCGTAAATGTGCATTTAGTATATTAAATTAAATTTAACGAAAAAATGGAAGAAACATAGGAAGGAAGAAAGAAGAAAAGAAAAGAAATTTGAAGCGGCTGAAAATATTTACCGAAAATAAACAATAATAATAATTTTGTCATTATTTTGTGAACATTTGTTAACACTAATCGTCAGAAGTCAAGGTGCCGGGAGCCTACATGTTTCATACTCGACATTGTGTTCGATGTCGAATAGGCCTATATAAAACATGTAGGCTGTCGGCAACTTGACCTCTGACGATTAGTGCTAACAAATTTTCACAAAATAATGACAAAATGATTATTAGGCCTATTGTTTATTTTCGGTAAATATTTTCAGCTGCCTTAAATTGCTTTCCTGTTCTTCTTACTTCCTTCCATATGCTTCTTCCGTTTTTTCGTTAAATTAATTTAATAACTAGACACTGTACATATTTACGCATAGTATTTAGGCCTTTATAAATATATAAATAAGTACCGGTATATCATTTCGATACATATTTACATGTTTTAACTGGACTCTCAACTAGAGTCTGTATTTGACATAATTCAATCTTATTGCTTTATTTAAATATTATCAAATATTATTAAACGTTAACGATTACATATTTTTATATAATGTATTTTTCAAATAAATATTTAAACAATTTCATTAACAAATATAAACTCTGAAAGTAAATTTAGGTAGATTAGATCAATAAAAATGGCCAGAGTAAACCTTATTATTAATCCTTCATTAACAATAATAACTTTTTCAATTTTCTAATCAAATTTATATAGCCGGAGTTAGTTTCGACGTAGGCAAACCTTGCTAAAAAGGTATACATTCTCCATCAAAAGGCTTTTCCTACGAATGGAATGACCTGTTCAAAGCAGGGGCGGCTCTAGGATATAATTTATGGGGGTGGGGGCTAAGATGTCCGAA